CCATACTCCAAGTATGGTAAAATCAATGAAGAATACAAAATGCGTAGTGCTTTTACGTCCAAAATATGTCTGATCCTCGCCAATATCGATATGTTTTTTGCTATTTTATGCTGAATATATCTGATATGAGATTTCCAGGTGAATCTATCATCAACTATGACACCTAGAAATTTAATTTCATATACTCGTTCTATACTGGCTCCCCCTATTTTCACTTGCAGTTTGTTATCTAGTCTACGATTCCCAAATATCATGAATTTAGTTTTATCCATTTTTTATAGATAGCATATTGCTATCACATCATTTCTTTATCTTCTCAAGTTCCTGTGAAACCTGTCCCGATAGTTGCTGTAGGTTATCCCCGGATGCCCATATTGTAGTGTCATCAGCAAATAAGACCATTTTCACTAAAGCCGAAACCTTGCACATATCATTAATGTATAATATGAATAATTTAGGTCACAAGACTGAACCTTGAGGCACCCCACATACAATTTCCAGATCACTCGACTGATGTTCACCCAACTTCACAAATTGGCACCTCTGTGTCAAATAACTACTAATCCAATTCAAAGCCACTCCAATCCAATTTAAAGCCACTCCAAAGTGGATTTTAAAACTTATTTCTTACATACAGTATATGGAACTTGTGTGTTAACTAGTTATGTTTTAGCCTTAGTTTGTAAATTATTATAATCACAACTTTGTTAGCTTTTATACATATTAAAGATAAATGTGTTTTTTCATGCCAAACAAATTTATGGTTGCAACTTAAATGAAGCAAGGACATATGGTGTTTAAGTATCTTTTTTTTTTATTGAGAAAGTTGGTATTCAAATTGTAACTGTCTTGTACATCTGCAGGTGATGGAGATACTGAAATACTTCTCATGGGCAGAACCACAGATCAAAGCAGTTAAAGCCCTGCAACATGTGAGTAATAGGTGTTTTAGGAGACTGGGTACTAGAGTTTATAGTTTGCATTATTAGATAATTTTATCCATTTTGCTAAACATAGATATTATTTGCAGAGATTATATATCTACAACACAAAAATTTGTGAAACTGCAAAGGTGTATTTGCTTGTGTGTAATTGCCACCTCTTTCTGAAATTGATATGTTTCAAAATATTGAATATGTTTCTCATTCTGTTGCCTTTAGAAAATGGTTGCAGTCCCTACAACCAAAGTCGCAAATATCCTGAATTGCTTCACTTTCTCTAAGGACAGACTGATTGTCCTGGAGCTGATAGCTTTGTGGGTAAACCTTAAAAAATTAAGCTCAGTGTACAGAAACACCACGTCAAAAATTGTATTGTAATGTCAGCTTATTTGTTTTATTCAGTAGTGAATTTTACTGATTGGTTACTTGATCAGTCTGTGTTCTGTACAGGAACATTTTAGATGCTCAAAATTACCGTCCTGTGGAGGATCTGTTTCGTATACACTTGTCTGAGAAGAAGCGTGCTCGCAGGATACTGGAGCAAGTAGGTTCACCCTTCCAAATTAATTTCACAGTGTTTTTTTCTGTATTGTAGGTAGGTTAGCATAGGAAGGCTATTTTCTAGTCTCTAGTGTATGTCTTGGTGCAAAAGATCTTGTGTAGTTTCTTTTATAGCTCTAAAGTACTAAACGACAACACTGTTGCCAGGATCAGTGTGCACGCTTGTGTCAATATATGGTCTTTGGCTTCCCTATTATATACTATATTTGAAATGCTGCGCACATGCACTGTTCCTAAAATTATGTTCCTTCTGTGTCATTAGGTGTGCAAGGTTGGCTGCAGGGCTCCTGTAGCCATGATCTCCTCCTGTGGTATGATACCAGGAAATCCATACCCTAAAGGGAGACCAAGCCTGGTCACTGGCACGTTCCCTGTAAGTATGTGCAGAGCTCTGCATTGAGCTTTTCTGAAGACATCCCAGTCCACAAGCAAGCCACTACCAACTAACAATAGAATTGTCAAATTAATTGTCTTTGCTGTACAGGTCCCTGTTCCATTTTCATATCTCAGTAAATTTGTGAATAGAACATGGTTCAGAATCAATGTGCTCTTTCGTATTGTCTGGAGACAAAATAGCATAGTGGGCTTGAAGGGAAAAGCCCTATTTCAGTTTCATTTTTCTCCAAATACTCCATGCTAATCTTGATTACAGGAGATTTGTTACTGGTGTTGCAAACAATGGCAGACGGACTTAAATTGAGCTGAAATAGAAAATGCAAAGTTTATTTATTCATTTAGTTAGTCTTGTGAATCCCAAAAATTATATGTTTTGTTTTTAATCACAGGGAAACCCACTGAAAAAAAAAGATGGGGAGAAAAAAGATGATGCCGCTAACAGTATGGAGGGAAAAGGAATTGCTTCCCGGATTATTGGACCTTTCAAACCGGTAAGCAGTAGGGTGGGAATCACTTGGATCAGATGGGATGTGATAGTGTCAACATTTCCCAGAGAAATCTCATGACTGAGTGATGAAGCCTCATGTGAACTTCAAACTCTGTGTCAAGCTATGTTAGATAAGGTAATGACAGGCCACAGTGAGAGTGCTAAATGGACTTGTGTAAAGGCTGTACACTAGAGATTGCAAGCAAAAAAAAACCAAAAAGAAATATATGAATAATATATTTAAAATAAAAAACATTAATGGACACGCTTCACTTTTGAATATAAAATGTAGAAATAGATTTAGCATTTGCTCCACTTTTTCTGTGTTATGAAAATATTGATTTAAAGCTATTATTTTTCCTTAGCTTGGTATATGGCCACATTGTAATATTTTTTGTTTATAAGTAACCATACTTTTTTTTTTTTTACCTTCCATGTTTAAATTTTGGGTATTGTTCAGTGTTGTCCTTAACATAATCAGTGTGTTAGTTGCCTCCTGTCACCTTTGAAAACTTGGAGACACAGTGAAAGTCAGAGGTTAAATCCTTTGAGATGTTGTTTTCAGTACATTAAGAACTTAGTTATGTGAATGTCTTTCAATTGGCCAGCTTTTTAGAAAGGAAGACTGTAATTGACTTATCGGTTAAATGCTTTATATGTACTTTTTCTTTTTTTTAGTTTCCTTCGACCTACAACCCTCATCGACCTGTGCCCTACCCTATACCACCATGCCGACCCCATGCTACTATTGCACCAAGTAAGAAACAACCCAGTTACTTAACCCTACTTTTTTTCCTCCTCTCTACAATAATGGAACACTGTATACACAACCTGTCAGTGATTAAAAAAACTAACAAACACACAAATATCAAATATACTGAGCTCTAAGACAATTGAGAAATGAAGAATGCTTCTTAGAGTGGTTTTAAGTTATAGTTAGGCTTGTTTTATTACTGCCATCTGGGACAGGTTGGGGAATAGTTAATAGATGGGGTGTGTTATATGTGAGTGTTTGTGTTATGTATGTGTGTGGCTGTATGAATGTGTGTCAGACACTGTTAATATTTGCAACTGCTACTCAGGTGTGTACAACAACGCAGGCCTTGTTTCTGTGGGAGGGGTTATAACAACCAGCGTGGCCCCTCCCCCCTACAACTCCACCCACAAAGTAGCAGGTATGATTTGATGGAAGCGAGTGTGTGTGACAGCAAATAGATACTCCCTGAAGCATGCTGCCTAACCACCTGGCATGCTGCTTATCTGTGCTTCTCCAGTTTAATGCCTTTACCAGGTGAAGACTGTGCTTCTTACTTCTGTTGGAGTACACTGAGTGACCAGAAAAATACAACCCCCTGTAAATGCAGGACAGTTCAACCGCTGTGCATTAGATTCAAGTGATGCCTTTAATCTGAAGCTGTTTGAGAGCCGTTGATCAATTTATATAGTCATGTTTTGGGGAATGCTGCAGATTGCAACCAAATTTTTGTTATTTTTAATATAATATAATAGTTCTCATAATTTTTATCCTCCATGAATGGTTACAATAGGAAATTGTGTTCCTCTGTTATTATGCAGTCCCTTGTTGATATTTGTTTTCTGGTCAGTCAGTGTAGAAGTATGTTTTGGTGATTTGTGAGGAGGGGCTTTGGTTGTGTGGCCTGGGAATAGCTTCAAACTAATGTCATTAACCTCTTTCTTTCTGGAGTCATGCTTTGTGTTGGCATTTAACATGCGTCATTTGGGATAATTTATGTTTTTTTATTGGTTTTAATCAGTTTTCACAATTGAAATACATCTTTTAGGGCCTCTGGGGAGGTACAGTGGTTTCAAGAAGTATTCATATCCCTTCACTTTTTGCACATTTTATTGTGTTGTAGATTTAACTTTAAATGGATAAAATTGCTTGTTTTCCATCAGTCTATATCAATCTTAGGCATTTTTGCAAATGTATTGAGCCTGGTTCTGTCTGTGGTTTCTTCTGTTAAAGGGAGTCTTTCCTCCCCACTGTGACCAGGTTTTTGCTCAAGGGGGATTTGTTGGGTCACTGTGTAAAGGGCCTTTAGATTACATTTGGTGTGATTTGGCGCTATATAAATAAAACTGAATTGAACTTGATTTAACCAAAATCAAAAACTGAAGCCTGTCATTTACAAACATATTCACATCCTTAATTCTGTACATTGTAAAAGCCCCTTTGGCAGAAACGACAGCTTTGAATCTTCTTGGGTAAGTCTCTACAAGCTCCATCACATTGGACGGAAGTGGCTGTAAATGCCATCTTTAGGTCTTTTCACAGATGTCTAATGGGGTTTAAATCAGGGTTTTAGCTGGGCCACTCAGGGACAGTCAGAGATGTTCTGAAACCACTTCAGAGTTATCTTGGCTGTATGCTTTTTTTTTTCACCGTGGTGCTGAAGGATGAACTGCCATCCCAGTCTAAAGTCACATGTACAAGGACCTCTCCCTGTCCCTGCTGATTGGAAGCTCCCCCATAGCACGATGCTGCCACCACCATGGCTTACGGTCAGGGTATCGGTATTAGCCAGGTCATGAGCAGTACCTGGTGTTCTCTAGAAGTGTTGGAGTTCTGCCCAAAGGGTTACACTATTTGGTCAGAACAGAATCCTCATGCTCTCAGGGTAGTGTAAATGCTGTTTGGTAAACTCCATGTGGGCTGTCATGGGGGTTTGACTTCCTTCTTGCCACTCTAACATAAAAGTCTGATTGATGGAGAGTTTCTGAGATGGCCATCCATTAAGCAGCTTCTCCCATCTCTGCATAGGATATTGGAAGCTTTGTCAGAGCAACTGTGTCCTCATTTTTGTCAGGCATCCATCTCTAGGAAGTGTTCTGGTGGTTCCAAACATCTTCCATTTCACAATTTCTCTCCTCCTGTCAACACTCGAAGCTTTAGAAATGGCTTGCCTTTGTCTTGATCTAGCCTCGCCATAATTTTATCACAGAGATCTGCTGAGTTCCTTGAATTTATTGTCTTGGTTTTTGTCCTGACATGCAGTGTGACTTGTGGGACTGTGCCTTTACAGGTGTGTGTCTTTCTAAACTATGCCCATTCAATTCAGTTTATCAAATTGCAATTAAAGCTTTATTAAAGTAAACAGGATGCACGTGACCACTGTTTGGAGTGTCATATCAAAGGGTCAGAATACTTTTATAAATTTCAGCTTTTGATTTGGACTTTTATGTATGGATTCTATGGCACTCAGGAAAAATTGGTACGTTATCAAATAATTGTAAATTAGGATCACACTCAGTTACAAGAAATCACTTTATTCTGCAAGGAGGATGAAACAGGTTGAATTTTAGACTTGGAAACATTTCTGAAAACACATGGCAGTTTTGGCACTTTTTTTTTTCCATACAATACAGTAAAGTATGCAACAAGTGGAAAAAGTCTGAATACTTTCTAAACCACTATATATGGTGATAAGGATAAAGAAGACTCTAATTTTATTAAACTGACAAATGGCTAATGCTGTATGTCTGGATGGGAATGTGTGAGATTTCCCCAAAGGTATGATGAAGACATATTCCAATCTTGAAAATTGTTGGTATGTATGTAAATGTAATTATTTGCACGCGGGGCTGCTTTCTAGCTATTCCTCTTTGCTGTATCTCTCCTCTTCTGTATTTTTATTATACTGTATGTCAGTGCATTTTCTACAGCAGATTTGTGGGTTTTACCGTCTTCTCCATATGTTCTGGAATGAAATTGGTTTTTAACAAAAACGCTATTGAAATGCAAAAATCAGTTTGTCATGTAATGCAAAACATTTATGCCATTTAAATATAATTAATGCAGTTTTTTAAAATTCTAATACCATGTGACATATTGTAGTACTAATCATTATTTTATATTACTTTTTTTAACCAACTCTGATTTCCTTCTACTTTCAGGTTATGCCAAACCAGGCAATCCACAGAACACCACACCTGGAGTCAACAGTGGGCCCCTCCTTATCCTTCCTGGGTCCACTCCTCCTGCCTCTGTCCCACCCCAGGCTTCTCCTGCCCAGCCCCCTCCCACAACTCCCATCACACCAGTTTTCCCTGGCATGGTGCCCTCGCACAACCCTAATGCCCCCTCTCCCTCCCCGGCTCCCTCCCCATCTGTCATCAAAGCAGGACCACAGACCCCTAGTGATCATGGTACACCTACACCCTCATCTGTCATTAAAGCCCATACCCCCTCAGGCACCCCTTGTGGAACTCCTGTTTCCAGCAGTGGGGGCTTCATCTCATCCCCCTTTCATGCAGTTTCCCGACCAGGCACCCCTGCTACCTCTCGTGGAGGCTCAGACCCCCTGTCTCAGGTGAACTCCATGGGCTCAACTCAGCAGAAGATTTTTTCCCAGTCCACACCCACAGACCACCAGTCAGGACCCACCTTCCCCGGCATACAGTCACAAGCAGGTAACCTGTCTGGGTCAGTGATCCGAAGTTATACCCCCTCTGGACCACCATCTCTCCCTCCTGGATCATCCACTCCAGCAAATCCGAGCTGTTCCACCCCAGGTCCCAGTCCCAAGCCCTCACCAGTTCATTCTGCACAGACACAGGCTACCATGGCTGTCACTGTCACTGGAGGCCTGAACAGACACACTGGGAGTAGCAGTAGTGGCAGTAACAGCCCTGTACCTTCTGCTTTTAAGGGCACCTCTCGCTCTGGCACACCATCTGTTAGCTCTCTAGTGGTACCAGGTTCTGCACAGGCGGTCCTGGCATGTTCCTTGGGTCTTTCACACCCCTCAGGTTCTCCACAAGTCTCTCTCCCTGGTCCTGTTGCTATCACTGGCATCCAAGCTCTGTCCTCCAGCCCAGCACCCTCTCATTATCCCAGTCTGTCCCCTTTCCCTTCCCTTTCTTCCTCTCTTCCTCCTTCCACCATCCCTTCATCCATGCCTGCAATGCCTCTCACTACCAGCATTTCTAACCACACACCAACTTCCATCTACCAAGGTTTGGCTCCCAGTGCAGCCCCCACTGCAGCCTCCCCTTTTGGTCTAGGCCTCACTTCTGCCCCCACTATATTCCCAGGCCTTCCACCTGGCCCTAGCCCCACTGCCTTCCCAGGACTGAGTGTGTCAGGAGGGCATGGGGCTGGGAGCCCTGTATTGTCTTCATTCATGGGATTGCCAGGTACAACTCCATCTTCAGTAGCATCGGTGGCGCCACTGCAAACAGCAGCGGCAGCAGCTGGGGCTCCATCATCATCACCAGTTTTACCAGGTTTTGCATCTGCCTTCAGCTCCAATTTCCAGACTGGGTATGTCAGACAAGTTTGAAGGGCAATGTTAGACAGCTTACATGAATATTTTTACACCTTATGATTGCTTATTGATTTTATTCCAATATTTAATTTATTTTAAAACCATAACAGCAGCTGAATTTGAATAGATGCTCTTGTATGTTAGTTGTGAAGGCCTATAATGTCAATCTGTAGTAATGCCACAGTTTTGGGATGCACCGATTTTGAGTTACGAAATAATTTCAACCTAAAAGAGGGTCACACCCCTTCAAAGTTAAAGAACCAGTGAATTACTGTATGTTGTGTAGTAGTCTAAAGGAATTACAGTTATTAGTTGTATTCAGTGAGAATGGTGGCGGTGCCATGTTTGTTTCCACAGAAAGTTTTCAGTTATTTTGCACAGCCTCCTCTTAAATGTTTTATTTCATCACAATCAGAAAGTAAATTACATAAAAACAACTGTCTAAAGTCATTGCACTTTTCTGGTAATTAGTAGGAACACTTCATTATTATTAATTACTTGAATCAGTACTTGGTATCAGCAAGTACTCAAATGTAAGTAATTGTACCTGTTATTAAAAGGTGTGGTATCGGTGTATCCCGACCGCAGTTAACTAGGACTTGACATTAATTCCCACTTACATGTGTTAAAAAAAAAAAAAAATCATCATAAATTATGTCCAAAGAGTTTCCACTGTGGGTTGTATGCGTAAATGGAAAAACTGCAACTTTAAAGTGCAAAGTCCACTTGTACTGCTACTGTAGAGTGGTTTGCGTGGCCTTGAAGAGTTCTCTACCAGGTGATTGCTGTCGGTCATATAATAAGCATGTTATCTTCTTTGTAGACCAGATAACATTCCACACCTTTTGCTGACATTTCATGCACTTAAGGCAGGTGCTGTCCTTGCTAGCTCTTAAATGAACCAACAAGTAATACTTTTTGTTCACAGATGGGGAGTGGTCATATAGTATAGTGAAGTAGTAGTAAAGAAATCATATAAACACATTAATAGATGAGGTGAATACCACCCCAACAATATACCATGTTTATACTATTAGTTTGCAGCTGTTACAATAAAAGGTATCCACACAGTCAGATCAGAGCAGAGCTTGTGGCATTGTCTTTTTATGTGTCAGTTTTGTACAGAATAAACAACAATGACATGCTACAGGGTTTGCGTGGGACTTTAAAATCTAAAATCCAATCATTTGAATTTTAGGCCTTAAAATGTCTTGAACATGAGCTTGATGGGTCTTAATTATGAATCATGTTTACAGTGAATTTTTTCATTTGGACTTTTCTTCTGTTATGTCACATTTACTTCAGTTGTGCTTTTGTGTGTTTTTGGGAAAATGTTCAGTTGACCAAGGAGTACTGCCTATGGTACATTTATTCCTTGTTGTAGTTCCTTCTCTCATTAGTTTTTATTTATTACACAGTAATAAAACTGCAAAATCAAATCAACTTAAAGAATATCAAGAACAATAGTCATAATAAGCAGACATCAATTACTGTGCATGTTACAGGTTGAGCAGTGGACTCCAGCCTCCAGGAAGCAGCGGGTTCCCCGGCTTGCTCTCTTTTTTTCTCTCCCTCTGCCTCCTCTACTAGCCTTGGTGGCCTCCACAACCCAACCATGCAGTCTGCCCTGCTGCAGGTAGATGCACACAATGTACTATGACATAGTATACCATACTGACAAGTACTATATTTGAATATCAGCTTGAGAAATCTAACTGCCACAAAAATGGTGCCTTGTCTTTCTTTTGTTCAAGGCTCACCCCACTTCTGCTTTGGAGAGCTTTCCAACTCAGGCCAACAGTTTCACCAATTACCCTCCAGGCCCAGGAAACCCCTTTCCCCTCCAACCAGGCCTGCACCCACAGTTGGGTTGGCAGTGAAACCCACAGTATGCTTTGAAACACTGAGCAGACTTGCACACTGACCTCAATCATACACCCTATCCTACCCATCGGCAGTTGATATGCTTTCTTTCTGGGCCTTGAACCCTACAGAGCACAGGACACCAGATGGAGAGTTTCAGTACTGTGTATGTTACAGCCAGAGTGGCATACTACTGTGAGGAGCACTACCATGAAAACAGCTGAAGCAGTGTTTGGATAAGACGGTATATTTCTTATATTATTCATGGAGAGCAGTTGTAAATACAGTTGTCAAAGTTGTTTGAGGTTATAGAAGTAGACTGTGACTGGTTTTAATGTTACCTGGACTTGGCTGTTTTTAATCACGTTTGTCCACATTTATTAGTGAATAATGATGAATTATAGAAAAAGTGAAAACTGTACCTAATATTATGTAATGAATTGACAGTAGCCTCGTGTAGTATTTTATGTTCGGTCTCAGTGGAAAGGAAATGCTTACGATACTGATTTAGTGTCCTGTTTGAAGACTGTTTTATGACATGAACTTTTTTACTGACTTAGGGTATATGGAATTATATTTTGAAGTGGACACATCTTAAATATTTTTAAAAAGCTAGCGATATGTCAGTGTTGGGAGTGGTGTACCCAGAACTACTGTTTGGCAGCTCTGCTCATGTTAATTTCAGTAAATACACTATCAGCTGTGTACCGGTATTCACATTTTGTGTTTACAGTTAGTTTTTTTTTTTTTGACAGATGTGACCCTGGTAATTCTGATACTACAGTATTTGCTCATGCATACTGTAGGAAAACATTTCTTAGAACAACAAAAGCATCTGTTGATTGATATGTACACTTGGGGTGTCTAACTATATTCTTCAGCTATGCTCTGCAACATAGTGAAAACTGTCATTTTTCATCATTTGCTGTACAGATCACTGGTTCTCTAATGTACAGGAGGTCACCCTGAGACAGTTTCTTTGCTTGAGTAATAGACATTTTGTTTGAAATTGCGCTGTTTTGTTTATTTAGTCATTTTTTTGTATTTGTACCGGTTTCATATTTTGTCAGTAAACTGCTGGTTGCTCTCTCTATGCAGTGCCATACTCATCAAGCAAATGCTGAAAGTAAACAAAATAATCCAAAAATAAATAAAAAGGGAAAACAAATGAAAAAGAACCTTAATGCAACTTAAGACAGCTAGGCATGCAGATCCCATATAACTGTGATATTTGCTTAAGAGCTTTGCTTAACGGGTGTTACGCCCCTCTTTTCAACTAGCGATCAATAGAACCTGAATATTTAAAAATAATCTGAGATCCTCATGGACAAACAGTATAATGAACAAACTTTAGATAAGCAAAGATATTTTTAATATTTAAGGCCTGTGGTGCTACAAATCACAGCTTAAAAAATGAAAAGGTACTTTTAAAAAATGTTGAATTTATACTACTAGTTCTTGTTTTTTGTCTTGTCTTTGATTTTTTTATGGTCTACAAAAGATTTTTAAAAATATAACCAGAGTAGATTCTCTACAAAAACCTACTGTAAAAAGAAGAATTTAACAGTGTCAGGCTCATTTTAAGATAGGCAGGGAAGTCATGTTTTTAATAGTTTCTCAATCTAGTAGGAGTGAAATGAGGGAAAGTACAACCTTACAGACTGCATTTCTACTCCCAGAACGTTTTACATCATCTGCTTGGGTTGGGACTGGTAACGTTCAGTATGCTGGTTTAATTTAAAATTGGTTTATATCATGGAATTTTAGCTAGCTTCCTTCATTTATAGCTGGCTAAGCTAGATTTGTTTGGGTTTTCATTGAAACATGCTTTTTATACACTCACTCTCATACTCAACAGTATGTTACAAACTCCAGTGACCTCTTGGCACCGTGGCAGTCGTATTTTACTGATGATCAACTCTGAGTCTGAGGCACACCCACACTTCCTCTGAGCTAGTTATATTGCAACAATACAGCTTTAAAAGGCTGGGTGACTCCCACCTGACTAGGTGCACTTCAACAAACTCTGTCAACACACTTCCTTTCTCAGTTTAAACCAGCTCATGGAAATGGAGAGCCAACAAGAAAGCCAGAAGAGAAGAGGAATGAGCAAAGAAGAATTAATATGTAAGATAAGCCACATTTTCCTACATACAGTAGCTGTCTTTTTCTACTGAGTTTAAAATGTTGCTGTCAGTTGTTTAAATATTAACGTATTACTAATTCCGAATGGTTAAAAGCCTACATTAACAAAGGGCTTGTTTACTGTTCACTGAAACATGAGCTTAGTGTTGAAAGTACATTTCCATTACGTTATCAGTGATGTGAGCAGGAGTGTATACCATACAGATGTATGTGGAAAACAGTCACAGAGCCAAGGGTGTTCTATGTTAGTATTGTCATAGAGATAAAAATCACGTCGCAGGAGCATGTGACTGAGTGTTGGTGTGTGTCTGTATCAATGCTTTGTGGAGTCTAATGCTGAAGGAGAACTGCTGGGTTTGGCTTGAGTGTAAAAGTTCTGTACTTGGTTGCTGATAATGGCTTATTTTCATGTCAGGCTTTTAATGATATGTTTTCCAGGTCTTTATTCTCATCAACCAGTTGGACAAGAACATGTGATGTTAGCAGCTGTGTACACATCATTTGCACATATCCACTTTCATTCAGGTTGTTGTCAGTGAACAGGAATCAGTAAAAAGTAAACTGGGTGTACAGATTATTAAGATATATTAAGAGCCTTAGGGAAGTTCTTTCATCCCAACTAACAGATTTTGGTGCTTTAAAAAAAAATCCATTTAATTGAAAAATGTATGGGTATTGTAGTGGTAAAAGCAAACTTAATATAGTTTATACTTATTAGGCCAGTGTTAGTTACATTCTAAGTAAACAGGAAATCACTTACATAAGCTCAACTCACATGAATTTAATGACCACTCTGCTCTCCCTCACACAAGCCGATACCAAATATGAGCTACAGTGCCTTGCGAAAGTATTCGGCCCCCTTGAACTTTGCGACCTTTTGCCACATTTCAGGCTTCAAACATAAAGATATAAAACTGTAATTTTTTTTGAAGAATCAACAACAAGTGGGACACAATCATGAAGTGGAACGAAATTTATTGGATATTTCAAACTTTTTTAACAAATAAAAAACTGAAAAATTGGGCGTGCAAAATTATTCAGCCCCCTTAAGTTAATACTTTGTAGCGCCACCTTTTGCTGCGATTACAGCTGTAAGTCACTTGGGGTATGTCTCTATCAGTTTTGCACATCGAGAGACTGAAATTTTTGCCCATGCCTCCTTGCAAAACAGCTCGAGCTCAGTGAGGTTGGATGGAGAGCATTTGTGAACAGCAGTTTTCAGTTCTTTCCACAGATTCTCGATTGGATTCAGGTCTGGACTTTGACTTGGCCATTCTAACACCTGGATATGTTTATTTGGGAACCATTCCATTGTAGATTTTGCTTTATGTTTTGAATCATTGTCTTGTTGGAAGACAAATCTCCATCCCAGTCTCAGGTCTTTTGCAGACTCCATCAGGTTTCCTTCCAGAATAGTCCTGTATTTGGCTCCATCCATCTTCCCATCAATTTTAACCACCTTCCCTGTCCCTGCTGAAGAAAAGCAGCCCCAAACCATGATGCTGCCACCACCATGTTTGACAGTGGGGATGGTGTGTTCAGGGTGATGAGCTGTGTTGCTTTTACGCCAAACATAACGTTTTGCATTGTTGCCAAAAAGTTCGATTTTGGTTTCATCTGACCAGAGCACCTTCTTCCACATGTTTGGTGTGTCTCCCAGGTGGCTTGTGGCAAACTTTAAACGACACTTTTTATGGATATCTTTAAGAAATGGCTTTCTTCTTGCCACTCTTCCATAAAGGCCAGATTTGTGCAGTATACGACTGATTGTTGTCCTATGGACAGAGTCTCCCACCTCAGCTGTAGATCTCTGCAGTTCATCCAGAGTGATCATGGGCCTCTTGGCTGCATCTCTGATCAGTCTTCTCCTTGTATGAGCTGAAAGTTTAGAGGGACGGCCAGGTCTTGGTAGATTTGCAGTGGTCTGATACTCCTTCCATTTCAATATTATCGCTTGCACAGTGCTCCTTGGGATGTTTAAAGCTTGGGAAATCTTTTTGTATCCAAATCCGGCTTTAAACGTCTCCACAACAGTATCTCGGACCTGCCTGGTGTGTTCCTTGTTCTTCATGATGCTCTCTGCACTTTAAACGGACCTCTGAGACTATCACAGTGCAGGTGCATTTATACGGAGACTTGATTACACACAGGTGGATTCTATTTATCATCATTAGTCATTTAGGTCAACATTGGATCATTCAGAGATCCTCACTGAACTTCTGGAGAGAGTTTGCTGCACTGAAAGTAAAGGGGCTGAATAATTTTGCACGCCCAATTTTTCAGTTTTTTTATTTGTTAAAAAAGTTTGAAATATCCAATAAATTTCGTTCTACTTCATGATTGTGTCCCACTTGTTGTTGATTCTTCACAAAAAATTACAGTTTTATATCTTTATGTTTGAAGCCTGAAATGTGGCAAAAGGTCGCAAAGTTCAAGGGGGCCGAATACTTTCGCAAGGCACTGTACATGCTGTTTGATTACATATTTCTTCTGGAGTCTGATTTATTGCTAACCACTACAGGGCTAAGTATGGTCAGAGATAAACTTTTGTGAGGATCTTTGCGGGAACATGGGGTCCAGCGTCCTGTTTTCTAGTAATTCTAGGGGCTTCCCAGAACCGCGGAGTGAGAAGGGAGGGGGCCCGCTAGATGTCAAGATTGACATGATGCAGGATAACTGTTAAATCATGTGCATATGTAAGGGTTTGAAAATAATACTCCTCTACTTCCGTACTTTTAGTGCAACAATGAAACTTCCTTTAGAGGAAAGTTAACTCCTGTGGTATGTCCTGTGGCTGTAGAAAGAGAGAATTTTTTTTTTATGACACTTAAGAGGAAGGAACTAATGACTAATGAAAAATTGGAAAGTTGGAGAACTGGGTGGAGGGGATCAAAGCCACATTCTGCTGCGATATGGAGATTGAGTTTAATTATCTTGTGTACATGAAACATGTATTTGTCCAAGGCATTTAAAACGACCAGGTGTGCTCTGCGTTGCATCCATAGCTTTCTACACTTGCTCAGTGTGTAATTTTTTTGGTCTTTTCAGCAGGTGAAAACTTTCTATATGGTCTCCTGTGTTGTAATTACACAGAGTCAAACAACATCATCTCCACTCTCCAAAGGGATTCAAAGTAATTTTATGCTGGTTTCTGATCAGTAACTTTCTGGACCATATATGGCAAAATAAATGCCCTCTGATGCAATGCATCCTGTTTTGTACTCCGCTACAACAAGGATATTTGTTTCAGGGGTTTCACAGTATGTCAAGTTCACTCACTCACACACTGTTCTCTCTCTCTCTAGCTGAACAGACAGGGTCTTTGGGATGCATTGGTTGGTTCATATTCATAATCTCTGGTGTATTCACTTTGTGCCTTTTCCCTATCACCATCTGGTTTTGTCTGAAGGTGAGTGAGCTCAGTACATAAGTATGAGGTTGATGGGCAGAAGGCACTTCTTCCCTTTACTCCAAACGTGAATGTGATTTGAGGCTGTGCTGTTCTTTCTGTCTGTGTTGTAGATAGTTCAAGAGTATGAGCGTGCTGTCATCTTCAGACTGGGCCGCATCACAGACAGGAAAGCAAAAGGACCGGGTAAAAACAATGTCTACAGTCCAGGCCATAAATATGTGGACAGTTAAACTACTGGTCAAAAGTTTGGATGCACTGAATGGGAGGGTGTGTCCAGACTTTTGGCTGGTAATGAATACATATGTTGTCCTTCACTGTCTGTACTTCAGCACATTTAATTTGAAATTAAATAATGGATAATACATTGAAATGCCAAGTCTCATCTTTAATTGGAGTAGGTTTATATCATTATAGAAAAACACTGTGGGAAATGTAGCCTGATAAAATGTTAAAACTATACTGAACTTGGGCTACAGTTTGGGATAAATAAGATATAAAAATGGAAATATCAGACTGATGATTCAGGCTTTGTTCCTTTTCCACAGGAATTTTCTTTGTTTTGCCGTGCACTGATTCCATTGTGAAAGTGGATCTGCGAACAGTTTCATTTGACATCCCACCACAAGAGGTAGGGCTGGCACACAGAAGAACACAAAACTATCTGGAGAAGTGTTGTTTTGTAGCATTGCAGAATTATTTCAGTTCAAGTCTTCGGGAGGTGCACACACACACACACACACACACACACACACACACACACACACACACACACACACACACACATACACACTTTTTTCGAGGGGCGCACACACACACACACACACACACACACACACACACACACACACACACACACACACACACACACATACACACATACCAACACAAACCGTCATGTGCTTCTGCTCTAGATCCTGACCAAGGACTCGGTTACAGTTTCCGTGGATGGAGTGGTGTACTTCCGGGTCAACGACCCAATCGCCTCTGTGGCCAACGTAACTAATGCTGACTTTGCCACTCGTCTGCTGGCACAAACCACCCTCAGAAATGTCCTGGGGACCAAGAACCTTGCTGAGGTCTTATCTGACCGTGAGGGAATCGCTCACAGCATGCAGGTATAGAATCTAAAGCTTATTTAAAGCTAGAAAACCTGAAACTAGAACATATCACATGCTCTGTGCTTGTGCAGTCAAGTAAGTGGAAAATAAATAACAACTGGCTAATATGAATATTTAATATTTGATGCAAATGAAAAGCTGTGGTGTGGTGTCAAATTTTTCCGAAGAATTCTCTTTTAGATAATTACTATTGGACTACAGCTACATATGTAAGCTCTTGCTTTTTGTTTTTTCCAGAGCAGCCTGGATGATGCCACAGACAACTGGGGCATCAAGGTGGAGCGTGTGGAGATTAAAGATGTGAAGCTACCAGTTCAGCTACAGAGAGCCATGGCTGCTGAAGCGGAGGCTGCACGAGAGGCCAGAGCCAAGGTCTGAACGTGTAACATGACAGATATACAGTTTCACATGCACGTATTGCAAAAACACAATATACTCACACAGGTTTTCACTTTTAGGCTGGATATTGTGTGCTGTCCTAATCTCTGTTTCTTTATCTGTGTGTAGGTGATTGCTGCAGAGGGTGAGATGAATGCATCTCGTGCCCTGAAGGAGGCTTCCCTTGTGATTGCAGAGTCTCCATCAGCCCTGCAGCTTCGCTACCTGCAGACTCTCAACACCATCGCAGCAGAGAAGAACTCCACCATCATCTTCCCTCTGCCCATGGATATCATAGCTCACTTCATGCGTAAGTGAGGTTGCTGATACTGCAGTTTTCTGACTGTCTAACGTCGCTGTTTAAATAAGACAAGTAGTGGATGGGACCAGAGTACATTTCATTCTGTGGCTCTCTGTAAAACTGTCAGGATGCAAGATGATACTGTTGTTGTACTGTCAGCATTTTTCAGATGAATCACAGAAACCCATTTATGGTTCATTTAGTCCAACTGTGATCAGGCCAGGGCTGCTAACCAGCGTGATGTGAACTAAACTCCGAGTCAGCACAGCTTACATGTCTTTGACACATTATACTATGAAAGTGGTATTATACTGTGCTGAATTATATGGTGAATTGTGTCTCATTTATGATTCATGTTATATGGTGTGATGTTGATCAGTTCAATATTTTGAAACATTAAATGTAAAATGCTGAAAAATGAATTGTTTAAGTTTTAATTTCAGCCATTAAATTCTTCAAGACCTCTGCTGCCTATCTTGAGTCTTGAATCCCTAATATTGTGAAATCTAGTGATGTCATTGAGTTTTGAATAACTGAGTTGAGAATTGAATAGAATAAAATATGACAGAATTTATATTTAAAAAGACCAATAAATAGTACGCTGGGGAGTCTTTAAGCTCAATGGGCTTTCTAATGTTGTTGAGCAAAAGATATCAGTTGAAGAAACAAATGGCAGGCAGGACCTAGGGCATGTAACTTTTCTTGAATATTTTTAATACTGTGTTCTTCCAAAAAGTACAAATGAAATCATTAACATGCTGTGTACACGTTACACATTGAACTGTCTCATTACTCATCCTCTAAGCCTGCTATGCTACGGTTACATTTTGACCATCACAAATGCAGAAAGAAAGGGAGAGTGAGAAACAGTAAAGACAGGAAAAACATGCTTCTATTACTTTGTTGGTGCACTAAGACACGACTCATGTTGTAAATGTATTTACATTCAAACATACAATCATTTCCAGCAAACTTTATCTCTGGACCAAATCCACATAGGGCAATTGTATAGCTTACCTGCACAAATTCAACCTCTATTTCTGAAAGCCACAGAAACATTTGCTACAAAGACATTTAAATATCAGCATGGATGTTTTCCTAATGACATAGATACATTACCCATATTTCTTGTTGGGAGGCTCAACCAAGTGCTACATATTAAATGGCTGCTACATAAAGGTCAGACAAGAGGTGCTTCTTTATTAAATAAAATCACATGAATGGCTTTTATCAAATGCCGTCATTACATTGTTGACATTCAGCGCATAGTGAGACAGATGTCCACAGGACACATTGAGGGGACATTAAACTACCACTTCATTGTCTAGAAATCATAGTCTGTGAAATACTACTTTAATATGAAATCTGTAACTTTACTCTGCCTTTTGTAAACACTAGTTTTTGTTGCATCCTTGTGGACTGTATTATTTGCACCTGAAGCGACCTTTAGGAGGACCCTGTCAACTGTTATCCTAAACATTTAAAAACACAGTGGCTGTCTGGTTGATATATTCTTACAATTGACTGTTATGCAAAGACATTCTTAAAATCATCAGTGGTGGTATAAAATCAGTGAGAATTGAGATACTTTTCTCAAATCCTATTTTGTACTCAACATTCTTTTGTTTAAGAACATTTAACCCTGTGTACATATCATACAAAAAAGGAATGGATCCTTAAGATCCATGAAAATGTTAAAACTTTTTCACAACATTAAAAGTGCTGGTATAGCAATGAAAGATCTACTTAAAAGTTTATTACTGAAAAACTGGTAACCTAGAAACATCCTTTACATGCTGGTAAAAGGTTATATTTACTCAACCTGTAACTTAACGGAACAAGTGACCAGGAGCGATACAAAGAATATCAAGGCCCTGGGTAGGCCTTGATATTGTTCCACCCCCATGCATCTGCTTAACTTTTACCAATATTACATTAAAACCCTAACCCATGCCCCCAGTATACGTGTTATACAGTATACAGACTTACCCTCATCTCTTTTCCACTGGCCTTGTTTATTTACAGCAGCTCATTTTCATGTGTGGTCTGAACAACTTTAGCTTTGTTTGTTAATGTGCAAGTAAATCACTGAGATTCCATTGTTTAATACTGTGTTTTCAGTGTTGACTGAAAGCCAGATGAAAGATTAGGACCCTGAGGGTGACTTGGTCAGTAGAGTACAGTACAGGAGGCAGCTATGACATACTAAATACTATAAAACAAATCTTATTTTTTCATACCAAAGGTTGGTTTCTCCGTTGAATTTTGAGAAATATCTTGAGAGCATTTTTCTGCAGAGAGGCTATACAAAAGAAAACGGAAGGTGTTTCTAATCTAAATTTGGAAAGTAATTCCCTGAACAATATACAGTGTTCTCACACACTGAGAATTCAGTGTGATTGCAAAACATCAGACCACAAAAAAATCCAAGAATAACGTGTCATTCAGATATGCAAGCAGAATCAGAAGAGGTTAAAGGTTAATCATGCTTTGCGCGTACCCCCGTGAGTACGTGAACATGGACAAGGGACCTGCGCACATTCCAGTACATAATTAGAATTGAGGGTCTGCCTTCTGTCCCCTTACGCCAATGTTTTCCAACCATTGTGGTACATGTAGGCAGTGGGGGCTTTTTGGGGCCTGCATGCGATCTGGGAAGATGAAAAAACTTTAGTTACTAGACCACAGTGGACACGCAAATTATAATTTGCCATTTATGAAGGTTCACCACTAATCTAGTACATCACAAAGAGGTAAACAGAGGGTTAACCTGTATTTTTTTTTTTTTTAATCTAGATAGCTTATAAACTCTTATATCATGTATCCTATCATATCAAAAGACTGTCCCTTGAACACTATTTATACACGTGATGACAACAAATTGTAAAATCTGCTGTATATCTCCTGCCTCCTGGGGTATGTCACATGTTCCACTTGTGCATCTATAGGTGATATTTTCAAAGTTACAAACTCCATTCATTTCCTTCACATAAAAGATGAACAGATCACAGCAATAATAAAAGTTGCACATTAACACTGGAAGACTTTCACACTACATGCTTGCCTAAGTAGCAAAATACATGTAACAAATAAATTTGATAAATATCACATTCCAAAGCAATCCACAACATTTTAAACAGGGATTCCTGTGCTTGGTTTCTCGCTTAGCTTTGAGCTCCCTGGTAGCTGTGTGTTTTTGTTGTTGTTGCTGCTGTTGAGCTGCAGGCACAACAAACAGCACATTCCCACTGAGGTAAATACACAATGGCAGACGTAGTTTTTGCAAGGTGACCTGAGGGATCCCAAAAGCGAAGAGTAGCTCATTGTAGGAAGACCTGGCAAGGCTTTACAAAACTTTAGACATATATTTTTTAAGTGAAATGGCTGGGGTGTCAGGTAGGATTGTTCCACACAAGTAAAACTATAGCACTGAACTAAATACTGTACAATACACCTGGAGGAGGTGGAGAAACATGATTTGCTCTGACTTGCTGTACAAACCAATTCTTTATGCAAAGTTTATGAAACAAACGTTGGTCGTTCGCTGCTGGTGAGACTGCAGGAAAAGGTATAAGGCGCTTTTTTGGGGGGGAATTTTTTCAGGTGAAAAACAAAAACATTTCTTCTGAAACCTCAAAATTACAATTCATCATTTAAACAGGACTAACTATGAAAACCAATCCCAGTGGGAAAGAAGATAGCTTATTTTATCAAGGACATGGCTGTATTTTTAATCACACTATATCATTGTTTTCTTATGACAAAAATGTGCAACCTTCCATCTGTTAATATTTCTGTTGATGTGAGACTCATGACTACCCATGCAGAGGAGCTTTAACTACATGTCAACACTAACTGTGTCTCTATCATACAGTATATACACTCGACATTTCAAGACTCTGTATTAGCACAAGTTGGGATCTGGGACATTTGAACTGAGCTGCAGTCATTTGCATCATTTTCCTTTACAGTATGTATCTGTGTTATTATATTCTATATCACTATAAGGTTGAGGCATGATGGACACCACCAACTGTAGCTGCATGTCAAGGTCAAGACTATAACCTCAGTGCTTTGACACAGACTGTACAGTTTATCCTGTGATGACTAGAAACCAGAGTACTTGTCTGTCTCCAGCATGTACCACAGTGTGATTCACATTCAAAGAGGAAGGAGGAGAGAGGAGCATGATGGAAATGGTGGAAAATTAGCCAGATAAGAAAATGGAAAAAGAATGATGTGAGTTTATCTCTGTAATGAGCTGAAACAAGTGACTGAGTTACAGCGATTGGCCGATGCTCTGTGTGTGGGGGTGGCTGGACCAGGGGAGTAATTCTGATTGCTTGCTGCCCTGTGAGTGGGTGTAGCTGGTCCCGGGGAGAGATTTTGATTTGCGGCAACTCGGTGGGAGGGGGAGGAGTACTGAACCTGCTGGGGACAGCTGTGGCAGTGAGTGGGAGAGTCGCAGCCTGTTGTAGGTGAGGAAGAGAAGAACGGGGATGAGGGGACAGGAGAGGAAGAGAAGGACCGGTGCAGAGGGGAGGAAGCGGGGGACATGAGGGGACTGGTCTGGAGACGCCACAGCAGCTCCTCGTTGTTCCGGCTCAGACGCTTCTTCTCAGTGCTCTCCTTCTCAACAGACTCCTGGAGGTTGGCGTTCTCTTCTGACAGTTGCCTGAAGGAAAATAGCACATAGAAAACCAATGTTTGCATATAGAACCATAGCTACAGTGTGCACTACATGAGCTGTGAGTATAAATTTGGGTTAGCCTACTGTAAATGATGACGATAACAGCATTAACAATAATGGTGACAGTTAAATGTGTCTGACCTGGATAGGGCTAGTTTCATTTCAATACGAGCCTTCAGATCTTCATTTTGCTGCTGCAGAACCTGAACCTTCTCTTCAAGGAAAACGTTTTTTTGGGCCTGCTCAAAAGTAGAACACAACCACAGCGCAAGCTTTCATTCAGCAGACACACACTATGACCACAGTGTGTAACCAGAGCAGTGTGCACGTGTGTGTTTTGTGTAGTGTTGGTGGAGATGGGGTTGAGATGGCTTATTTGAGCCTACCACTTTCTCCAGGTCAGATATCTTCTTCTCTTGCCGGTGTATCTGCTGGTTCTTCATTTCTACAACCTCTTTTAAGCTCTCCAGATCTTGCACAATGTGCTGGTATGGAGCCAAAGCATCCTGTTTGTATGGACAACATTAAAGGACCAATACAGAGCAGAGTTTAAAAAGATACTGTGGCAATTCTACTGCCAGGATTGTGCGTTTGATTGCCATTTGGGCCATTTATATTTCCTGTGACATATTATATGCTTAATTATTTGAGACATATATGCAGGCATATACTGTACAGCGTCTTTTTTTGTAGTAAACTCACAATTATCTGTTCATCTGTACTTCTCCTCAGAGCCTCCTCAAACCGTTTGGCTTTGTCCCTCAGACTCTGGTTTTGAAATGTGAGTGTATCCACTTGATCCTGAACAAACACATACATACACACAGACAGAGCACAGATTCATGTGTAGCAATAATAAATAAATAAATAAATAAGAAGGGTAGGTAGGTATCTTTAAAAAAAAAATAGAATCATACCTGTAGAGAAAGCCTGAGTTTATCAAAATCTTCTTCTAGAAGCATCTTCTGTTGGTCATGAGCTTTTCTTAAGTCTACACAGATTTAGAGACACAGTAAAGATATGTGTCAGTGTTGTTTCTAGCAGTAGAGGTGTCATATTGTGTTATTTAAATGAGGTCTAAAATTGTACCTCTCATGGTACGGGCGTGCTCCTCATGCAGTGTTGCCATGGTGATGTTGTGCATGTCTCTGAGCTCCTGAATGGCTGCCTGGTGGGTGCCTGTTATCTCCTCCACCTAACACACACACACACACACACAGCCATGTCCTTTAACAACTGATCAGATTTCATGTGAAATCAGATCTCATCAAAGCTAAATAATACAGACACACTTAGCCATGATTCCTTTCTCTCACCTGTTCCTGTTGCTGCGTCCTCAGCTCCTCCATCTCTGACCGGTGCTCCGCCTTCAGGTGTTCAGTCTCTGCCAAGTGACACTTCCTAAGCCCCTCCTCCACAGCAGCCAGCTCTGTTTCCTGCTGCAGCTGCAGCTCCTGCAGCTCTCGTTCAAATGCCACCTCCAGGGCTGTCTTTTCCTGCTGGAGTCTTTCCCATTGCACTGAGCTGGAGACTGTGCATGGAATAAAGTGTCTTATGATATGATAATGTTGCAATTTATTCACTTTCCTTTTACCTAGATAAAAAAAAAACATTCAAAAATATAGATATACATATAAAATCCTCTTTAAAGTAAAGAAATGTGCTCCATGTTATATGTCAAAAAATGTCCATGAGAAAGGCCTATTTCTTGTGAAATACTGGTAGAACACCTTCTTATTGCTTTGTTTGCTTTAAAGAGGTTTTTATATGTAGATTTGAAGTAATAAGAGCATGGCCATTTTTGACATACAACATGGAGCAAAGGTATAAATACTAAAATGTATTCCATTTAGCTGCTTTACAGTAACTAATATTATAATGTGCAAGTAAGAAAACACAGGCATTCAAAGGACTTCACTGTGACACTTAAATAGAACAGAGTCATTGTTAATGTCATTTGTAACACCTATGCTTTC